TTTAAAACAGATATGCTTAATTAGTTTCTAAAATCGTTCTAATCGGTCATACTCTACCTAATGACACATACTTCCCCAACTACCTTAATGTATTTAAGATAAACATCAAAAGCCCTTCATTATTCTTTAGCTTTATAATATTTAAAGAGATAGTCTAATTGCTAAATTTACCATAAGTATTTAACAACTATCAGCAAGCTGAGAATTAATTCATATAACTATAAAATTATATTATATATATTTTTAAATTTAAAACATATTATTACATGTTCAATTAAAAATAAAAATTTTTCAAATATTATTGTTTATACTACAACATCTACCAAATACTTCTGGACTGCATACGTCACCAACTTCAATTATAGTTTTTGCGAAAGGTTTTTTTTTCTGTGATCAATGTGATGTCAGGCAACATGTAAGCTTGTAGGAATAACCAGCTCTAATGCTATGTGCCATTAAATAAAAAAGTAATACGCTTAAAACGTTTTAGCTTAAGAAACAATAATCTAATCACAGAAAATGCACTGTTTACTCCAGTAAAAAAAAAAAACCCAATACAGGGGGGTCGCGGCACAGTGGTGACGTGACATAGTTGGGTCAAGTATAATGATATCTGACAATGATTAAAATCACTATCATAAGAAACGCTTCGATGCAAATCTTTAGATAGTGTTTAATTTTAAAAAATTGGTGTATTATTCTAAAAGCTACATGATCTGCTATTTTCTTATTTATATCTTGATTAAGATAAAGTATGTCAATTGAAAGAGGAATATAAATACTACTTTTAATGAAAAAATTGTGTTGATCCATACACTTTTCAATAAGTTATAGCATTATAAAGTTAAAAATGTAAAAAATAAAATCGAGAATTTTCACACAAAAATAGCATTTGGTAGCCATTTTCACCGTGAAGACAAAATAAAGTCCAAAAATTTTTTTACCCATGATAAAGTATATTACATTAACTTTAATTTAAGATATATATAAAAGTGTCAGACTTCCGGAACTCTTTCAAAAGTTAAGTTGAAAAAGTTAATTTTTTGTGAAAAAGTTGTCATTATAAATCCCCTCTGTGGGCAGGTTAAGTGTCAAATTTACAAAAAAAATATACCAAATGATAGCATAAACATCAAGCATCTAAAAAAAAAAAAATTATATTGATATGTTTACTTTTGAAAAAGTTACGGCAGTTTTAAGTAAAAAATATTGAAAAAATTTCGAAAATTAGCGATTTTTAAATTTGTAATTTTTTTGGAGGTTTCCCCCGTTTACGAGGGAAATTTTTTCAATTTTTAAGGGTAATGTCTTCGACTAAATACGATTTATGATCTTTTGACGTATCGTTAAAAGAAATCCGTTCGGTGAGAGCTGAGAAAAAGTGGTAACAGACACAAAAAAAAAACACATCATAGTAAAACCAATACCTTCTCAGCTTCTCATCGAAGCTAATATATACAACAAAATTTTCAAATGGCAGAATGTTAAATGTATATTTATATATCCATTATATTTATTTATTAAATGGTACAGAATAAAAGTACGATTTATTTGCGTATAAGTTTTTGTTATGAACGTTATGTTTCGGGGATCCGTGAACACTTTTAAATAAACTTAATAGCAATACAATAAGCTTTTAGTTAAACTTTTCACTTTTTATAAAAACTTCGACGTGAAAAACTTTCTCCTTGTTTAGTTTTCTAAATTTAATATTATATAGGTCGACGGAAGTACAAAGATAGTATCTTTGTAAAACTTGAAAAGGTTGGAAACTTTGTCTCGAATACATCTTTTTAATGAGACAGGCTGCCATATGATTGTAAAAGTAACGACTATGATTGGACAAATACTTTAACATCAATTCGATAAACAAAGATGCCAGCAATCGAAGTGCTTATATTCGTGAGCTCAAACAACAATTAGTTTGCACGATTTATTATCAATTGTTGTATTTATTATTAAATTCAAAACTTGTTGCTCACAGATAATTTATAAATGTGTACAACAAACATAACAATAATCTATAAACATAGATTTTCAGTGTTATTTTAACAAAAACACTGCATACTTTAATCACTTAGAGATATTTAGACCACACACTTATTTAAAATTCGAAAATCTCCCATACCACGTATACAGATCATAAAAATCCATTTTGAATCGATCCCTAAAGAAACTTACCAACCACTTTTAGCAACCGAAAACTTTATAACAATAAACTTTATGTCCTTTCCTCAAATAATCTTTCTACGACAATTTAACTGAGCTATCTAATCTCTCTACGATAGAAGCCATCAGTAAAAAGGTGTTAATATCCTCACCATGTCGCCAAAACTACTATTTCTCTCCGATTTAATCTTCTCGATAGCTTTTAATCGTCTTAAATTAATGACAGAATAATTCATTTTAAAATCTTCAGTAAAAAGACAGGAAAATTTACAAAACCTTACAATGATTAGAAGTATTGTATTTTTTTAAAAATAGCTTTTCAATAATATACTACTAAAATTTATGAAAAAAGAGTTAGATAATCAAACAAATTTTATGACATTTTTTAGTTTTTGAACATTTTGACTGTCATGTGGCTTATTATTTTATACAATTAAAAAAATACACTTAACGACCAAATAATTCTACACAAAAAAACTTTTAATTGTATTAATTCAATGAAGTTTCAAAATCTCTTTGAGAGTATTAAAATACATTTTAAAAAATCGTTCAACTTGACTAACTGTCGTAGTTGAAAAAAATAGTTGCCTTTTTTATGAAACTCAAGGGTACGCTTAAAAAATTGATCGTACGTTACACCATAATTTAATATCACCATAATATCATGATAATAAATTTTTATTTTTTTTATCCTAAATATTACAGCTTAAGCTAAAAAAAATAGAAGATTTAAATCTTAGTCCAAATTTACATAGTATTATTGAGAGAGCTGTGGTTAAGAGCTATCGTTATCCTGTAATAGCACATAATCAAGGTACTTAAAGCTGTACCATACATTCCGTTGTTACTTACATCATAATAGATTTTTTTCTTTTCTCTTTTATAACAACAACTATAAAGAAAATAAATTTTAGGATCTTATACATTTAATATTAGTTCACTAGAAACGAATTAGCATACAAGTATTATAGAAACATTGTTATATATTAATTGAATTTCGTTGTACTATTATAAAACGGTGGAAGTTTATTATTGTTTGCATTCTGAATAAAAAAGCAAGCTATGCGCATATTAAATATACAGAAAACTTTTATACATTACACTATCACTTCAAAATCTTGCTCAAGAAATCTAATTGTAATCAATGTGATGTAATTTATTTTACTCGAACCTAATATATAATGAAAAAGTCATATTTTACACTTATTTTTATATATTAAGTATTGAACAATAAATTTTAAATGAACTAAGAGCTCATTTTTTAAAAATTTTTTTGTTTTTGAATAATAAGAAGTTTTTTTAATTTCAAAATAATCTTATAGCATAAAAACCAAAAGAACAATAAATTATTGTTAATTACTAATTAAAGAATTAAGAATAAAAGTCCAAAATAATATTTCTATTCTTCAAAACCTTTTTTATTTATTGTCAGGTTTTGTAACTATACGAAATACATCAACTTTTATTTTAATATATTCTTTTGATGTACTTTTAATTATAACACTGAATTTATGTTCGATTCTAAGCATAGTGCAATAAAAAAATGCAATCTTAAAAAGACTAACACGATAAACTAAATTTCTACTGATTCTAGATTCTTTCTTTATTAGTAAATCTCAGATATTCTAACATTTTGTTTCGGCTAATGATGTTTGGTACATACTAACTAGCGTTTGTAGAAAAAGCCATTAGTAAAACCAAGTTTATGTGAAAAGTCGTTGAGAACTTGAGAGAACTTCCGAGAAGAGAATAAACAAAGATGTAATGTTTATTGAAAAACTATTTAGGTATTAATAAAATACTTTTATATTTAATTAAGTTAATTAATAGTTTTTTTCTGTTATTAGTTGTATATAAAAATCGTGTAACTAATAAAAATAGTATTACTCGTTTTACTATCCAGACATAAATGAAAAAAAATTATAGTAGTTTAATTAACGATTGTTTGTTACATCACAATTAGTAACGAGTATTTAGGATACATTTTTTTACAACAAGAAGACTGGGTATAGTTTTGTTTCTTTATGTACGAATAAATTTTATTTTTGTGAAAATTGTAAACTGGTAGGACATTCAAATTAATATCTCAATAAAAAATAAGCGAGTATGGCTTAGAAGGATTGTATAAATGTTAAATATTTTATTAATTGTATTTGATTCTATAGTTTTTATCATTTTAATATGAAGTTTTTATTAAAAATCCATACTTTCGATAAATAGTTTACATAAAATACAGCAATAAAAATTGACATTTCCAATTGCATTTCAAAAAAAAAAAAAAAATTATATGATTTAGGCTAAATAGGAATCGATTTTAAAAATCAATAGAGTCTATGTTCTAATTATATTTATAACTATAGAAGTAGATAATTATTCAAGTTAAAATCATTTCAAACTACTAAGAAGTCTTCACACTATTTTAAATGCGATAAAGTATTTTTCTTAAAACGAATATAAAAAATAAGCATAATATTAATCAAATAATGTAAATATTATTACCCTTGCTGAAAACTAGTCGCATTTTATACAGAGTGATTCTTTTAACTCTAGCCAAAACGAATCACTCTGTATATTCAAGTAAACTTAATCACAATCTTTATTAAATCTGGTAAAAACGATTTCAGTATTTTGATGTATAATATTTCATTAATTTAAAAATTTCAATATTTGTAAATATCAAAACGAGTTATCTAGTATTTCGTAATTGAGTTTTAAAATAACTAACAGTTAAATAATAAATATATTTAAATATGAGAAATATATATAATTCTCAGAATCATCAATATATTGATGATTTCGGTATTTTTATAAAAGTACTGTTGGCCCCTTACCGGAGGAGGAGCCTGTGGGAATATAGGCACCATGTGCAAGTAAGTGCGCCGACCATGTCGATCCCGGTCCGGCGATGGAGTGAGCTGTTGCTGCTGGAGCCGACGGGGTGACAGGACGACCCTGTCATGTTGTGCGGCCGCAGCCATCATTGGGATCCACATTGGCCGCTGTCGTTCACGTGCCGTAGCCGCCACTTAACCCTTGTCCATGATGTTTTTGGGTCATAGAGTATTCCGACCCACCTAAAAAAGTAAATATGCACTTATGAGAATCGCCTGCAATCTGAGATCAATATGTTTAACAAGGTTATGCACATCATAAAGTATAATTAACGAATTTAGAAGAAAAATAGTTGTTGTGTTTATTGATTATATAAAATTTTATACAAAAAAAAAAATAAGGTTTTTTCTATGATTAATTTTAGACTTATTCCATACTATTGACAGTTTAAAAATAATATGTTTATTTATATTTTTTAACTCATATGAGTTATATCTAATTTATTTATACTTCAGGTGAAGACAGTAGTGATTGAATCTGGTGCAACCAGTTGCGTTTAATTTGAAAAATGTTTAGATAATGCAAAAAGCAAATTTATTTACATTAAAACGTAGCAAAAGTTGTTTTTTGTTATAACATCATACGGGGGCTTATTTAGATCAATTCATAACGAGGGACAAGTACAAAATAATTTTTTAATTTACAAGCTACCATGAAAACTTTAACAATTACTATTTACTCGCTTTTAACGAGGAAAAAAAGTGTTGCGAAACTCTTTGTAATGGATATCATGTGCTCCTGTGCCTTCACTAATTATGGTACTCATTCTATGACTAATTATCGTATGTGTATGTTTTACATTAGGGCAATTAAAGTGGCGTGCTCAATTGGTAGACATGGATCTACTCAGTTTACAGATTTAACTATAGGCATGGGTCCTATAAAGTGTTATACCATCAAATAATAATAAAAAAAGTTTTCAAATAGTTTTTAGAGAGGGCAAACAAATTTTAAATGTATCAACATGAACTTTAACCTTTTTACCCAAAATCTTGCATAATGTACTTAACTCATTAAAGTAATTTCACCAGTGCATGTTCTAATTTTATAACTATGGTACATAGTGTATTCAAGTCAGAATATTTAAGTATTTACCTTTAAAAGCATTTTCTCTTTTATTTACTATAGTAAATAAAATATTATAGCAAAACACGAATGTGATAGAACATAAAAAAAGTTAAATGATGTGAACGTTTCTTTAAATGTGTTTCGACCAAGTAACACGAATGACAATGCATTTAAAAATAAAAAGTATTAACTAAATGTTATAAACGGTGAATAGTATAAAAATACTATTAATATCAATTATTTACGTCTCATTACTCTGAAATATTAAAACATATTATTCGTGATTTACTCAATTAATTCTACTGGTATAAAAAAAATTAGGGTTCAGTACTTTTAAAATAATTCAATTATTTTCGCTTCGATACATATTACACATAAAAAGTAATAACTTAAAAAGTACTAAAACACTGATTAATATATTTAATGTCTAGATAATACAAACGTGTTACTATGTATAAAGCTTTTAAAATTTTACTTTAAGTTAATTATTATTGACTAATGAATTCGGAAATATATGATTTTAATATTGCCGAAAATGCTTGCGAGTATATCTCATTTTAAAATCGTGCCACCCAATGATTTTTTTTTTTTGCTCGTCACATTTTAGTAGGAAACTTGGACGGGAGATCGTAGATCTTAAAAAACAAAAGTTTAAACTCCTGTAGAAACGTATTTACACAAGAGGGAGTTCGCTGAATATCCCTTCCCTTATTTTGTCTCCAATTATTAAAAATATGATAACACACATATAGAGGAAAAATGTTTAGACTACAAATTAGATTATCAAAATTATCATAATTTTTTCGGTCAAAAGGAATATTACGATGGAAATCGGCGAATAAAAATGTTATAAAATATATATAAAAATCTATACATGTTATATAACGAGTTAAATTTTACTCTCGTATTTTTGATGCTAAGCTTACATAATATTATGAATATTGCTCATGAATACGGTAATATAATATACATTTGAATACTGTAATAGTAATGAATACTTACTTAAGCAACGAAAACACGTATTAATAAATAAAAACGATGGGGTAATAATAATATGAATTATCATATTCATCTTAAGCCCATAACGACCCGAATTGTTACAATAAAAAATATATATAGATAATAAAAATGAGAAACCAAACGCTTTAGAAAATATTGCAAATATTATGTGTAAGTTTAATTTTTAAGTATATAGAAACCTAAAGAACTCAGAATGATTAATGTATTCTTTGATGTCTACAATATAGAAGAGCGACCGTTGCAAACACCATCGGCATTAAAAATACTCTCTTACATTAGCATATCTAGCAAAGGTGCACAACTATTTTTAAAAGCTCCATCACCAAAATTTAGTTATTATTATTATTATTTCTTTCAACAGTGGCGGTTAAAACGAAATAAAAATAGAGAGTATCCATCACATCGCCAAGGAATTTACTACAGACCTAACACTTCAATTATATTAGGTGAATTTGTAATGGGTAAACACTTAAAGTATAAATAGTTGAAATAAAATAAATTTCATATATTTATTATTTGAATTAGGAAATATTTTATTTTATCTATTGGATTCAGAAATGGAAATTTCACCAAAAAATTACCCATAAAGTATACAATGAAAATTCGCCTCAATGACAAATCCTTAATTTTAATATTTAAATATAAACATATTTTGTATTTATACAACGCAGTCACATTTATGAGGTGATACTGGACAAATACTAGTCATATTAGTGTTAAAACAAGTAAGTATCATGTGTTAAAAATTTTTTTTTTACTCATTATTTTACAGAACAGAGGATAAAAAAAAATTAAGGCTTTTCCAAATGGTCTCAATATCTGATAGCCCAGATGGCGCAAATCCTAATTTTAACACATATATTACATAAAAAAGTTATTTTCCAGTTGTACATTTGAGAACGCACAAATAGTTATTATATTCTTAAAAAAAAAAAAATGTCTACAAGAAAAAAAAACAAATTTATTTAATCCTATACTCCTGGCAAATAAATAAGTGAGCCTTATTCCATTGGTTAGGTTTTAAAAATATTGATTTTTAATATACTTCAAGAGTTATTAATATTTAAAATGGCGGCCGTCTCCCTCTTTAACCAAGCCAATGTTCAAGAGGGTACCCAAGATAGACTAGGTTTTCCGCCATAACCCCAACTTAAACTTACGGGTACCCCTTACGTAAACCAAAGATCTTCTCTCGTAAACCTAACGTAAATATCGTTATATATCTCATAACGGATGAAGAATATTGAGGAGAATGGTCGAGAAAAGTTTTCATAGTTCTACGCCCTGTCGATTTTGAGTTACGAGCGATTCATGATAATGTTTCAAAACTAGCGTTCAATAATAAATAACATGACTTGAAAGTTGAGATTATTTTTGCGTCTCTCTCGAGATTATGAATTTTTAAATATACCCTTTAGTGAAATCTCATTAAAATTACTACTGGTATAGGTGATTTCTTACAAATATCATACATATTTAACATATAAATAAAAAAAGTGACTTTCATTGTAACGATTTTATTCTTGTACCATAAAAATAACGTAACTTCATTACATGTTCAACTAAATAATTTTTAAGTAGTTAAATCCTGAATCTAACAAATAATTTATAGTTTAATTTAATTATCAAGTAAATGTTCTTTACATTTTTTTCAAAAAAAATTTAAATAAATAAATGTTTGTTTTATATTTTAGGTATTTCTGAGTTACTTGCTCATTACAAGTATTGATATTTTCTTTAATTTGTTAATATAACTGTATCTGTGAGCAGAATTCTCCTTAGATAAGTATGCTTGATTATTTTAATATATAAATATAAGGAGTGCGTTTAAGTTATACATTTCAACAATATGGTCTTCAAATATCCAAAAAGAATTTCCATTGAAATATTAATGAAATCCTAACTCAACGTTACGGTTGTCAATGTTTTTTATCCGTTGAAAGAGTTAGGAAACAAAATAGTTATTATTTATCTTTTAAAAAAATTGTTTCAATTCAGTGGTTGTAAAATATTAAAAAAAAACCTTTAATTTCCCCTACGTGTAGATTACAAACTTGTACGTAAAACGAACAATCGACATAAAAATGAAACACGGACAATAAAAATGTGTCTACACGTGTTTTCCAGCAGTTATATTACTTTAAATCCACCAAATCGATAGCAACTACAGGATATATGTTCGCACATTTAAACCATCTAGTCAAAGGGAAAATGGTATCTTGCGTAGGAGGATCACTACGTGTTAACATGTATTACAGTATAAGTTTAACGTCAAATAATGCTAATTAGTGGAAAATATAACCACGTTTCTAATTTTATTAATCTTTATAATGTTTCATAAAATATTATTTAACTTTATGTAGCTGATAGAATTTTAACTATGTACACTATAATTTTTATTAAAATATTATAACTCTATACAAAAATAATAATTATAATAATAAAGTAAAATCATAGAAATTAAACTTCTTGGTAGATTTAAACCGTTTAATTCAGAGAATTATACTGAATATGATTCAATTTCTAATAAAATACAAATATTGCACTTAAATAATAACATTTTCAAAAATTACAAATAGACAGAGTTATATAAAAAAAGGAAAATCATTTATTGTTTTTACATTTTTGAAATTTGCTATTATAACAGTGCTGGCGGGACTACATTTTTTTTAATTAAAAAAACCTTTTAGTTTTTCACCTACGTTTGAGAAGTACTTTTAAATGTGGGATGCTAAGCAAGTACCAGGAACGGATTCAAAGGTGGAGGGGTACTTTCCTCTCCGTTTGATATGTCATAGTATTTGATGATTTTAGTTTTAGGGCAGAGCTTTTGTTTTTTATTATTTATAAATTATTTTTATAAAATATAGCACGAAATTCTCCATCATAGTTGATACCGACTAATGCAAACTTACCGGATAGTCAAGTATTTATGCGTGTTTTTCCTAAAAATAAAATTAAAAAAGCTATATATATATATATAACCACCCCTCCTCTTAATCAAGCTGGATCCGTAGCTGGCAAGTGCAATGATAGCTTTATCCTTTAATCAGCGCCGGTAACGGTTACTTAACGATATAAAACATTTTTTAGT